TTTCTGTTCCATTCATTTGTGTGTCCCACTCATTGTGCTTTCAAGCTCAGTCATTGCCTCCATTATTTAAGTTTGTCTGCTATTGAAGTCCTTTAATATATATTTTCTAACTTGAGCACAGTAATTTTTTAGATCTAATAGCTTTTTTTTTTGAGATCCAATAGTTTTAATGCCATAGTCTCATTTTTTTTGTCTCTATTCTCTTCCTGCTTTCATCATCCAGTGGTTTTTTTGTTGTTATTGCACAAACATTGTTGTGACAAAGGCAGACTTTTTCTCTTTTTTTGCAATTTACTTGACTGTAAAGTTCAAACTGTACAAGGTTTGACCACAAGGAGTGGTCCTGTACATAAGAATAGCTAGATCCTACACATTAGGGTAATTTATATATATGTGTGTGTGTGTGTGTGTGTGTGTGTGTTTATACACACACACACACACACATATATATAATAGTTTATTTTTACATCATTTTGTGCATTTTTCCATCTCATTTGCAATCCCCTTGGGACATAAGGATAATTTTAACTCTCAAATGTTATGCCCCTATCCTAATCAGATTTCTGGGATGCCTCCCTCAGATGCAAAATAGTCTTCTTGGAGAACGCTCACTGAATAAATATACACTAAACAACTTTAATCAGCCAAGTAAATCTTCTGAAAAATATTCTAAGTAGTTTAGAAATTATGTGCTATTTTGAGATCCACTTTATTAATGCAAATATCTATAATTTTTAAATATCACACTCATTTAATGTGTATTCTTATGATAACTGAAGTTATTCAAAGAAATGCTGAACCAAATTTAGAATTATAAAAGGTAGATTTTACATCTTTGGCATTTTAGTTCACACTTACAGGTCATAAAGAAGACAGCCCAAATTTGACTGATGTACATCTACTCAGAAACATATAGAGAGTTCATTCTAGAAACTCAGTCTAATTTTTCAAAGAAATATTAAGTAAATAACAAACTTTAATGCTGATATGAAATACATGGGGTAGACACTATTTAATCCCATTATTTTACCAAAAGGTAACATTAAACAAAACAGATGAACTATCACAGAAATAAAGAATGTGAATATAGTTTTCAGCATTTCAGGGTAAGACCTATTTAGATAAGTCACAAATAATAGTGATATCGCTTAGCCCACTAAATGAGTCAGTTATCCCACAGTGAGGCTGAAACATTCACAGCAATGAACAATCAACAAGAAAAAACAGTATTGTAGTTATCATTGCTGGAGTAACTTCAGAGGTTAATGTATTGAAAAGGAGTTCTTTAAATAATTATTTTTGATCTAAGTTAATTAAAAGGTAATGGGAAGGCTTATAAATACTTGTGTTAGAATTCTTAAGGGAAACTTAAAAACATTTTTTAAAAAATTCCTATTTTTTGAAGATTTATTTTTATTTATTTATGCATATAAGAGGTTTGGGGGTGGAGGTGAGAGGACTCACCAGATAGAGTGGGGAACTGAACAGGCAGATCTACTGGAATACACTGCTGAGGAGACAGCGGGAGAGTCAGAAGAGGTGTGCTGTGCCATATGGGTCAGCTCCCTGGCTTGGATCGAATTCAGGCTGCAGTTGCTGGCCATAGTTTGATAGCGCTGAGATTTTAACTCTTATGCCACCAGGAGGCCAAGAAACTTACAGACCCTAGGGCAGCTATACCTACTTTAGACACAGACATGATTTTGCTGTCTAACTTGATCATACAACATAGGACCTTCTTTTTTCATGACAATCATACACCACCAGTGTGTTCAAACTTATAAGCATAATTAATATTGTTTGAGACTGCTCCATAGACTGTTAACTCTTTAAGATTTGTGAGTCTGCCTTGAAAATTATACAAGAAACATTTTCTGTACTGGGTATTGCAATATTGTTATTTATAAGATATGGTGTCCAAGAATTACTTGTTGGTATAGGGAACTCTACATACACACTCCTATGGCAGAAGCCTTAATCAGGGGTGGTACACCCCTCCAGCATCATTTTCTTGAAATAGAAAGTTTTTCATATAATGCTATAATTTCCTCTCATTATAAATTTCATAAATTTATATAAATTTCCTTCAATTTTCAGGGGGTGTTTCCTTTAATAACAAATACAAATGATTGGGTTTACAAAGAGAAAGCCACTCATGATATTCATGCCTCCTTCAATTTTACCTGACTGGTTTGACCAACTCCTGGATCTCCCATGACTTGAGGCCCTTTTCTGTTCTCTTTCCCACCTTACTCCTCTAATTAGAGACTGAAAATAGAATGATAAGCCTTCTCATGACCATGACCATGCTGATGTAGCTCATAATAAAATAAGCAGTTATGCTAAAAATGGAGTTTCCATATGATCCAGCAATTCCACTCCTAGATATCTACCTAAAGGACACAAAAACGTTAATTCAAAAAGACATCTGCACCCCAATATTTATTGCAGCACTATTTACAATAGGTAAGCTATAGAAGCAACCCAGATGCCCCCAAGTAGATAACTAGATCAAGAAGATGTGGTATATACACACAATGGAATACTACTCAGCAATCAAAAAAGATAAACCATGCCATTGTGACAACATGGATGGAACCGGAAGGGACCATGCTTAGTAAAAGAAGCCAGAAAGAAAGAAAAAAATAACAGATGGTTTCACTTATGGGAGGAATATAAGGGA